ATAGAATTCAGGATTTGTAGATTTATGATAATGTATTTCCATCTGTAAAAATCAATACATTTATTATTGAATGAAAATGACGGGGTACAATTCTAAACGGACGTCTGCGAAAACATTTGAAGTTCATTTTGAAATTATTTTCAATTCACCTCAGCTAGATCCTTGCGAGTTGATCCAATAGAAAAAAGATTTTAGAATCATTTAATAATTATATAAAATTTTAAAAATTTCTGTCCATTATTATTAAATACATGAAAAGGAGATGGTCTTTAGATTCTTAAGTCTGGGTAGGGCTAAAGATCTTTGAAATTAATGAGAATGTTTTATTTGATTTATTTGATTTGTAACCCCCTTCTAGTGAAAATACATCAACCGCTATTGTATATGTTACGTAAAAAAGTTTCATAAAATGTGTACGTGTATTTCTTTTTTAAATTAATCGCCCGAACACGCTCTTATTTCGACGTGAAATGCTACAGCAGCATAGAAATCAAGATATTGCACTAAAATATTTGAAGTATATTATTTTCAAATATGTGTTCAGGCCCCTTTAAAAATAATGGGTTATAACAAACTCACGGTACTTTCTTATATTGTGCAGCTTATAAGCAGTTCCTTTTGTTTAAACAGGAAACAAAATATTCTAAAACGGACCTTTTGATTTTGTTCACCGACAGTCTGTTTATTCTTGTGTTAGGTGTAACAGTATATATTTCTGGAATATGTAAAATTTTCCAAGAATTTGGTTTTGAACTTTGCTTTAAGACATGTGACAGTACTCCTCACTAAAATATTATATTGGATTCGGCTTTCTTTCCTCTCAAAAATTAAGGTAAATTAATTTGCTTTTTTTGTACGAATCCAGAGGATAATATTTCTTATATCACTGTAATATTGAAAATCATACTTTTGGCTTAAATATTACTTTTCATACTAGCATTTTGAAAATAGTGATAATTTTTTTTCTTAAAAAGTTATATGTTGATTTCGATACGTTTAGGAACAAAGCAATAGACACAAAGCAATTTAAGGAACGTTTTGTCAGAACTCAAACTAGCTTGGATTATTTTCAATTTGAAAAACTCGTTTATTTCTAATATTAAGTAAACGGACGGCCTGGACAATCATGGACTTCCTTGGTTTTATGGATAGAAACAACTGGATATCAACACTTTTTTTGCTGTGTATTTCAATTCCTCTGCAAGTCTTCTAATTTACATTTCTTTCAGAGATACATTAAGATTTATTTGTGCATAAAATGGTATCTTAAAATCTCTTAATATCGGGAAAAGACTCTTACACGTTTAAATTACCAGAACAGTAAACTGCGTGGGAGTGTTTCATCGAAAGATTGAACTCGAATTTTAGGATCATGAAATTAAAAACAAAAGCAAATTATAATGATTCAATTTTGAAATATGGAGCCTATCGCGAACTATAGTTATTTATAAAATAATATTGCATACATTTAATTATGAATGAAAGTCAAAGACGAAATATCAATGACATAAGATTAATTTAATTTGTGCATGTTTTCTTATTTTAAAGAAAGAAGCTTCTGTGCAATTAGAATTCATATCATACCAGTATCTTCTGCAACACGTATACCGTTTACGGTAGCTCAGTCGGTAGCGCTCGCTCCGTGATCGGGAGGTCGTTAGCTCGTATCTCGGCCGCGACTGACCTAAGTCGATTAAAAATGGGTAGTAACTGTTCCTTTGCCATGCGCTCGGCACTTTGAAGTGAAAGTTGCGGGTCCTTCGGATGAGACCTTAAAAACCGAAGCCCCGTGACAGCGGCAGGCGTTGGCACGATAAAGATCCCTCACTGCTCAATGGCCCTGAGTGCCGAGTAAAGGTCAAAATTTGAAGCCCTTCATAGCCATACGGTGACGTCTCCATATGAGTGAAAAATTCTCGAAAGGGACGTTAAACAATATACAATCAATCAATCAATCTGCAAGACATAACTACAGCACAACCAGGAACACGTTAAAGTCCTAGACAGTACCGTTGTCAGAGAACTTTAAGTTAAGCACTGAAAAATGTTCGTTATCATGAAAAGTTGCACCGACTAATTAGATCGGTGAACTATTTAGTAGGTTAGAGTCTCGTTCGTTATCATGAAAATGTGAGGTTATGATAAAATCTGTCCGGTGTCATTTCTTGAGATGACAGGTCGTGAGTTCTTAATTTTTTGAGTTAAATCTGAAATTGTGTAATGGGGAACAGGACTGACACCCGTTATGGTGTTGTAAGAATTTCAGCCGTTTAAATGAACTAATAAAAGAAGAGTTTGCGGTAGCGATATTAAACCCTATTGAAACCACCTGTGAATTTGATTCATTTTTATTCTGAGATGTTACATTTTTCGTAAATAGAATATAGTATATATATACCAGTGGGTGCAGACAATATCAAAACATGTTGTAAGCCTTTAAAAAAATTCGAACTAATCAATACTGATATTTTTGCTTTATTCTAATTTATTTCTGTTGTCGTGACAAAATACAAAAATTCAATCCGTTGTCATCGATCCGTTGTCGCTACTGTAATGTATACACCACGAAGAAGACCGATATGTTGATAAATTTTAAGTTTGCCTTCAAAAAAGGGGTGAAGGATGGAGGAGAGAGTGGGGTGGGGGAGCCAAGTTATCTTTTAATTTCATTTGATGTAAGGCTTTTGTTGGTAAGAAAAAAAGGAAAAACCATTTTCAAAGTGAATGATTTAGAAGGAAATACGAGGGCTGTTCGGAAATTTGGGGGACGATGTCAATCTCTTCGTTATACTTTCAAGAAATTTAAAATAAGGACAATATCATGTGTAAAATATTTGTTTTTTAATGTGTAAAGTTTCATATCTTGTATCTTATATTTTCTGCAAAGGGATGACCTGAAATGTAGCGGGAGTGAATCACTCCCGCAATTGCACCACTACGGAGATCCGAAGGGGTTGTGCCCCCCCTTCCCCCCCCCCCCCCAAAAAAAAAAAATTTTTATATTATTGCAGCTAACTTACGGCAATGTAACGTCAAAGACATAGTGTCAAGAATTTCTGAAAAAAAAACTATACCTATACATTTCACACAGAATGTAACAGTTCTATTTTTTTGCTCCATTTTACAGAGAAGATGACTACAACTATTATTTTTACAATTCTAATTTAGTGTGTTGTTTGTGAATTACTAAATTTTGACCTGCTCTGCGATCCGATTCCAGAGTAAGGTAATTCTTTATTCGTATTGTCCAGGGAAAAGGTAATAGCCTTGACCAGACCTTGCCTCTAATAAGAAATGGTCACATTTATTCTCACTGATAACATCACTTAGAGATATTGTCTTCTTGATTCCTTGAAGATTTCATTAATCTTTAATACAAGAAAGATGAGAAGAATCCAACCTTATATAATAAATAATAATAATATAATAATAATAATAAAAATTTCTATAGCGCCCTATATAATAAAAAGTATCACCCTAAGGCGCTTTACATAGAATGTACATAAAACATTGCATATATTACTTTAAAAATAAAAATTTGACTTATATTGAAAATGTCTTGTTTTGATATAGAATAAGAATAAAAATTACAGTCACAAGGACTTAAAAATATAATGTTTAAGAAAAACAAATAAAAATTCAATAGAAAGATCAATCTAAAAAGTTAATCAAATGCTAATTTATAAAAATGAGTTTTCAATTTTCTTTTAAAACACTGGATGGATTTGGATTGGCGAATATGCACCGGGAGACTGTTCCATAAATGGGCAGCAGAATAGCTAAATTTTCTTTCACCATACGTCCCGGTGCGCACCCTTGGTAAATTGAGCAGCAAACTTCCGTCAGATCTTAGTGTGCGGTTAGTTTGACGGACAGTTACAAGTTCCTGTAAGTATTCGGGCGCAAAACCATACACAGCAAGGTAGGTAAAAACAAGGATTTTATACTTTGGCCGGAACTCCACTGGCAGCCAATGCAATTCAGCGAGAATCGGAGTGATGTGATTGTATTTTCGTCTCCTTGTAATAAGTCGAGCTGCATTGTTCTGGATTTTTTGTAGCCTTTCTACAGAACTCTTGTTTATGCCAACTAGTATACTAATCCCGTAGTCCAGTCGAGATGTAACTAAGGAGTTCACGAGAGTCTTGCATGCATCAGTTGAGATGAAACTCCTAATTCTTCCAATGTTACGGAGATGATAATTGCACGTTTTAATGATGGACGCTACTTGCTTTTCCATAGTGAGAAATCTGTCAAAGTGGATGCCTAGATTACGTACAGACGTTACACTGTTAATGACACTTTCTCCAACTTTAAGTTGTAAGACTGGCACATTTTTGGATTGGAATTTCGTTGTAAAAATTATCAATTCGGTTTTATCCTGGTTTAATTTAAGAAGATTAGTCGACATCCAGGTCCCTATGTCCTGCAAGCAATTTTCAAGTCGTTTAAAATAGTTGTTCCAGTTTTCACGAGATTTTATTATCATGTACACCTGGGTGTCATCGGCATAGCAATGATATTTGAAACCGTGCTGACGACAAATTTCTCCAATTGGTTTAGAAAAAAGACAATAAAGTTTTGGTCCCAGAACGGATCCTTGTGGGACACCAAACTGAAGATGGCAAGGGTCTGACGTTTCCGTTCCAATGATAACACGTTGTTGCCTGTTAGTAAGGTATGATTTTATCCACGCTAATGATTTTCCACCAATGCCATAAGATGTTTCTAAACGTTGGAAAAGTATTGTGTGGTCTATGACATCAAAGGCAGCTGAGAGATCAAGGAGTACCATTACAGCAGATGATTGATTATCAAGGGCCTCCATGATGTCATGATTAACTCGAAAAAGTGCTGTCTCCGTAGAATGTTGTGGCCTGTAAGCTGATTGCAAAGGGTCCCTTAAAAGATTTTTGTCAAGATGTTCATCCAGGCGTGTGGCAACAACTTTTTCTAAAATTTTAGATACAAAAGGGAGGTTTGAGACAGGACGGTAGTTCTTATAGACAGTCTTTATCGAGTCCAGATTTCTTCAGTAATGGTCTTACTAATGCCTCCTTGAACAGTGATGGTACTTCTGATTGGTCGAATGAGATATTTATAATGTTGGTAATAAATGGAACTATAGCATCCAAGTTCATTTTTAAAATCGACGTCGGGAGTGGGTCAAGTTCACACGATTTGGTCGGTGCTTTGCCTAGAATTGTTCTCACTTCGTCGTTTCTTGTGGGTCTGAAGTTCAGCAATGGCTCGCCGCTGAATGGAATATCCTTATCCATAGTTCTTTCCATGTTAAAGGTAGTAAGTTCTTTAAGACCATCTCTAATTGTGGCCACTTTGTTAATGAAGAATTCAGAGAATGCGTTAGACAACTCTCTATTAGATGTCGACGATGGTAGAATACTTTCCTGTTGTTTTCCCATCAGTGTCTTCGACAATTTGAATAGTTGCTTGTAGTCCTTACCGCATTCTTCAATCTTTTGAGAAAAATAGTCTTGTTTGGTTTTATAGACAAGTCTGGCTGTCGTAGAACACATGTCCCTAAAAATTTGTCGATGAACCTCTAGTCCTGTCCTACGCCAAACTCTTTCGGCTCTGCGTCTCTTGCGTTTTGCATCACCGAGTTCTTCGGAAAACCACTGGGTGTTTGGTCGAAGTAGAACAGATTTTGTACATAAGGGAACATGTTTTTCCACAGTGTTTCGTAATGGGGTGTTATAATGGTCAACTAATTGAGCAACAGGCAAACTTGTATCAGGTATTTCAAGATTGATATCCTTTGATAACTCGTCTAGGTCAACGTTTTTCCATTTGCGGAAAGTTATTTCTTTCTTGATGCGCTTTTGTTTGCTACATGATAGCACGGCTTGAATGGAATAATGATCACAAAACGAGTTTCCATGTGCATCGAACAAGTTTGGATCTTGCACTGATGGTTTGGTCTTAAATATAGTTGATTCAGATTTTGTTATGAGGAGATCCAGTATATGTCCACGATTATGGGTAGCCGTGGTAATATGCTGTGTCAAGTTATGATCTTCTAATGTTTGTAGAAACTGTACAGCATTCGGGTTATTTTCATCGTCGATATGAAAATTAAAATCTCCAGTTATTATAGTCTCATGAGGGATGGTGACAGTTTGATCAAAGTAAGAATTCCATTGGTCAAAAAATAGGCTGGTTCGCAAGTCATTTGTTTTTGATGGCGGGGGCCTATAAATGACACTCAGTCTGATACATGTTTTATCCAGACATACTGAAAAATCCATGTACTCAAATTGGTCAATATCCAGTTCCTTATTAGGGAGGTGTTTTATGTCAATTTCTTTCCTGAATAATATGGTAATACCACCACACCGCCGGTTCTCTCTATTGAGATAAAGGAAATCATAGCTTGTTGGTATTAACTCTTGTTTCACAATATCATCTATAGTAGAACCTAACCAGGTCTCAGTCATTGCAAAAATATCCAGTTTATTAGACACAATGTAGTCATTTAGCGAAAGAGTTTTGTTCTTAACTGATCGACAATTTAGGACACCTAGCACAATATTATGTTTGTGTTGCGCTGGGCTTGGTGGCTGAACATTAATATTCCTTAGTATTCTCGGTTTTCTACTAGAATGTGTTCCGCCTTCATGACTTTTCGATCTGCATTGTTTATTTGAATTTTTTTCTTTGTGTGTAATTTCACTTCCGGTTATCATGGAATCTACATTATTCACGATTGGTAACCAGATAAGGTTATTACTATTAACACCCTGTTGTCTGTAGCAAGTTATGCTTTGGTGTCTGTAATTCTTACTTGTGAGAACGCGAATTTCTCGCTGAACACGTATCCCTGCTCTAGTTCCGCGTCTGGTCCTACGTAGCGCTCCTTTACACAGGTGAATTACCTGGCCGACTGTGTTTAATGGCTGACTGAACACAAACTTCAGTCTGCACGAAATGGCCATTTCTTCCAAGTCTGCCCAATTTACACTCACCAACCGAAATTATACTAAAATTATATTATACATGTACTAATATACCTTAAGGAGATTATGATAAACAAAACTTTTCTAAGGAAAATTTTCTCGGAAAAAATATTCCGTTATTCAAGAAAATAATTATTTAATAGATACTCCAAATGGAAGCACGGTGTATTGAAGTAGTAGGGAATTCCTGGACCTTCTCCTTCACTGTTTTATGGCGTGGTTCTCAAATATATCCAAAAGGTAAGTGTAACGAGTTTTTTTTGGATATTGTAGAGTTGTTTGTTTGTATGTTGTCCCTCTCGAGAATTGTCTTCTCATATGGAGAAGCAACCACGTGTTGGTGCAGAGCTGCGAATTTTGTTCTATACTCGGCACTTAGGGCCATTGAGCAGTGAGGAATTTTTTTCATGCCAGCACCTACTGCGACACGGGACCTCGGTTTATACGGTCTCACCCAAAGGACCGGTCTCCACGTCCAAGTGGGATTCGAACCCGCGACGTAAGGATCAATTCCTTAATCTGCGACTATAGAGAAGACGCTCTAACCACTGCGCCACTGTAGAGCAGAGAAAAATAATAAACTTAATCCAAAATGATTTTAAAAAAGAATAAATATAAACAAAGAATAGCAAATATTTGCAAACTTACCCACTCTCACGAACTGATTTAAGAAGTGTGATTTTAATTAAATTGCTGTAATTCTGAGAAAGAAATGAGCATTATCCATAGATATTCCTGTTCTTTGTCACTCAGTCTCGCTGTGATCCTCTCCGCATCTTCTTTTAGTGAAACGTCAAATGATTTAACTTATAAGGAAGAGTGGGGGCATTTGTTCTTTACCGGTTATTTTATATATTTTCAGGGTGTAGCAATCACAGACCAAGAGATGGTCAAAAAATATAATTTCTTCATCTCAACTAAAAATAATAATTTTAGTTGAAATTACGATAATTATTAAATCAAAATTGACTTGTATTTATACTTACATTAAGTGTTTACCGCCAGTGGGGTAGAAAAATGTAGTGGGATAAAACGTGTATAGTCATATAGTTCAGGTATTTACACACATACACACACACACACCCTCTCTTACACCCTCTCACACACAAACACCTTCATACCCTCCCTCCCTCAAACACACACAAATACACATATATACATGTACTTTTGAAGTAACAATTTCATTATAATTAAAAAATCATGTAAGCCATGAAATTCACAATTTTAAAAGAGGCATTCCTGCTCGTCATAACTATGTACTTAGTTATTTTAATTAATTCCCAGAAGCAAAGAAGAAGATTTTCAAAGCATTAATGCATTTTCACTATATATGTAATTAATAGAGCCCCACCCTAACACCAGAACCCCTGACCCTGGAGTTATAAAACTTACAATTTTAGAAGAGGCACTCTTGCGTATCATAACTACGTACTTAGCTAGTTTATTTAATACCCAGAAGCAGAGAAGAAGATTTTCAAAGAATTAATGTATCTTCACTATAGAATCATTATAGAGCCCCGCCCTAACACAAGAACCCCTGACCCTAGGGCCATAAAATTCACAATTTTAAAAGAGGCACTCTTGCTCATCATAACTATGTACTTTGTTAGTTTATTTGATACCCAGGAGCAGAAAAGAAGATTTTTAAAGAAATAATGCATTTTCACAATATAATCAATATAGCCCCGCCCTAGCACTAAAACCCCTGACCTTGGGGCCATGAATTTAATCACAATTTTGGTAGAGGACTCAATGCTGATAACAATCATGCCAACACTTTGACTGCTTGATGTCCAGGAGTAAAGAAGAAGATTTTTAAAATTGCACTAGTTTTAATGGTTTTGACCCACCCCCCAGGCCCCAGGGTTCAGGGACTATAAAATTCAAAATTTTTGTTCCCCTTTACTCATAGATGCCAAAATTGGTTGAAATTGGTTCAGTGGTTTCAGAGAAGAAGCTGAAAATGTTCAAATGTTAACGAACGACGGACGACGACGGACGAAAACGGATAGCAATAGGTCACCTGATCATACAGAGGCCTGTTCTCCTTATGAGAACAGAGAATTGAGGCTGGAAGCACCAGGTGAAAAAAGAAAATGTGTATTTTTTTTATCACCGATTAAAGATTTATCATACCAAGATAAATCAAATATGTATATACAATATACTAAATACAAAGAGTTAAAAAAAGAGAGAGAAATGTATCGTATGAAGCTTAGATTAATTTTCTGTTTTTTTTAATTATAAAATAATAATTCATATTTCTAAAAATCCAGATAAATTGGCGTCTAAACAATAATAATAAACATATACAAACTGTTTTATATCTTCTTATTAAGCCATTTTTTTGTATTTTATGCCCATAATCAAAGATTTCCAACATAAAACCTAAACATACATAACCTGCAAACATTTTATGTGTCTTTCAGGGCTTGAGATATATGATGTGGTCTTTTGTTGAGACCATTGCGCAATTTCAGATCATTGTTTGCAACATATTCTGGTTTGAATTCATATCAGTCAAAAGTTTTGAATGTAAAATCTGGACAAAACATGTTACCAAACAATGTTTCCTCGTCAAAAACTGGTATGACAAAAACACAGTAAACATTTGAAAAAAATATTACAGAAACAGTAGCAGTTCAGGTCAAATTAACCTTCATCATCACGAAGCAAACATAAAAAAAAATAATAGATAATTAGATTAATCACATATAAAAATTTAGATCTCTAATTTAGATCAAGGGACAGAGAACTTGAATCAATCGTTCTCAGTTTATTATATATTAACTAAAATGTTTCCCAGCTATTAATGATTTTCCCTCTTCTTAAAAAAATTATATCCAAGGTTATTTTATTTAATTTGGACGGAAGCAGAATTTTCCAAAGAGTAATCTCCCGTTTCCCTCGAAAATCAATTTTATCTTGGAGTTGGCGCTGAGGGATTGTTAAAAATCTGAAAATAAAATTTAAAACATCTTATCAAATATAAAACTTAAAATTATCAGCATGATATTTTTGAAATTGTTTTCAAAATAAAATTCGTACGTCACATGACTGTACAGCATGAATGAAATTGCAGACTGTCAGATATTGAAATCTCTTGTTTCAAGACTAAACTATAAGTTTAATTAAAATAAGATAAATCGAAAAATTGATTAAAAGAAATTGAGACCAGCCTAAAGTTTCAAATCAAGACAAAAGAAATGGACTTATCAGAGTGGAGTGAAAAAACGAAAAAATTGTCAAAAATAATTCTTATTCAAAATATGAAATGAAAATCTAAGTATTTATGAGAGAAAGGGAGAGGGGGTTGGTTTTTTACTTAGACAAATTTCAATAAATTTCAAAAGAGAGAATCTAATACGTGAATTGCCTGTCTATACTTGTATATTTATAAGAATTATCTACAATCAGGCCTTTCTACCTTCGCACACCTTACCTATTCCGTTCACGACACCTGCGTCTAACACCCAATGTAGAAAATAATATCAGTTTATAAATTTATTTATATGTTGTTAGAATTTTTTATTGAAGTACAGTGTGTAATAGAAGCGTGTTTACAAATTTCAACCCCTACATGTATCTATCTAAGAATGCTTCCATACACGTGTATTTTTGGCTAATCTTGGCGTTAGAAGATTTTTCAAATATTTTTCCTATACGTTTGATTTACTATTTAAGTTTTTGTGCAAAAAATACATATACAATGTATATCCTTTATACCAATTTGTATAACTTTGGTTCTCTGTTATCTTCCGCAAAGTGAATCTTCATTTCTGACGATGATTCTATTAAGTTATAACGTCTTATAACGGATTTGATGTTCTTTAGAAGATTTTCAAAGATTTTCCCTTTGTATTCCAGTTAAAAAAATGATTGCTCATAGTGTCTATACAATACCCCTGGGGTCATGATTTGAACACACTTGATTGTACACTAACTGATAATGATTCCATATAAATTTCTTTGCTGTTTTTGAGATTTGTTTTCTTGTTTACTTCTGTCTAAAGCTCTGATCGCCTATTGTGGCCCCGCCCCTATCTCCGGGGTCATGATTGAAACAAGATTCAATCTAAAGTACCCGAGGAGGCTTCCATGGAACCATGACCACCCATGGCTTTGCTGATCTTAAGAAGATATTTAAAGGTTTTTTTTTTTCAATGAATCCTCTACGTACACTGTACAACTTTAAACACTTCTTGCGACCCCAACCTAACCTTGAGTGTTAGGATTTGAAAATTGAATCTTATGTCTTAAAAATTACAATATAAATTACAATGTGCGAAGTAAAGCTTTTATTGGCAGCAAATGATGACTGCAGTGGAGATTTTAGACTCCTTTATATACTTGTACTTGATTTTTCGGTTATTTCCCGATCATGACAAGGAGCACTCGGCGGATGTGACCGGTCAACAGGGGAAGATCACTCCTCCATGTCACCCGATCCCACCTCTGATGTTTTGGAGGTCTCTGTTTGCTCTGCTCCTATTTTGTATTGTTTTATGGACTTTGATATTGAATACTGTTTGTTATCTCCATATATTTATATAAGAAGTGTTATAAACTTTTGGTCAGACGTCTAATCTGTGTAGGATGGTCAAGTAGGCATGCACAGTCTGAAAAACTGACAAACTGACACAGTATCAAATGTCATTCTTTAGGTTCGTATATATGTCAAAGTGTGCTAATGAACTTAAAATCGTCAAATCACTTACTATATAAAGAAAAGGACAGAAGTGTATACATTGATTTCTCAACTAAAAGAGAGACACGATGGAGAAACCTAGCAACAATGCCACTACAAAAGTGCACAATTTACTCATTAACATGATCAACGACAACATGGAATTCCAACAGGTCTTCAAATTTTCAACTATTTATGGAACATTTGGTTTGGAATTTTCTTCATCAGTATCACCTTTTTTATGGATATTGCCATTATGTTCAACTATTTTCATGTGGAAAATATTTTACAA